AAACCCCCCCCCCCTCCGTTTTGTGGTACCTTGTCAAGACCAGGTTGACCCACTCCTTATAGAAAGGGAATCCATATGCACCCCAACCCCACCCCACCCTTCAGTCTCAGGTACTCAGTTCTCCCCAAATCGACGGCTAAAAGTTGCTAAAGAGCTTGTGGGCTCAAAGAGAGAGAGAGAGAGAAGGAAAAAAATAAACAGTGAAAACAGTGGCGAGAATCACAGCAGTAGCAAAATAACCTTTCTCCAGTGAAAGAGCAGAGGTACATACGCCCCGGGGAGGTGGGGTGGGGTGCGCAGACTTTATTTCTAATAAAAATTTGTGTTTGGAAAGGAACCTTCCTAGAGCTTGACTAGGAACAGGGTTCACAGCACACACCTTTGTACTTAAGCTGCGGAAATGTATTTCTCGTCTATTAGAAGTGCACGCAGCCTCTCACCCCAGGCTCCTGCCCTTGTGCCTTGCTCTTTCTCGCCCTCCTTTCCTGCCCCCTTTATTCATGGATTCAGAGTTGCAGAACTGAGGGCGAATTCTTCCTCCAATGCCAGTGTGTCTCTTTTTGTACTTTTCTTCTTTTTTTGGGGGGTGACGGGTGACGGTGGTGGAATCGTCTTCGTTATTTTTTCCCCCCTCCGAATATAAACCTGAACTCCACGTGGGAGAATTAAGCTAATTTAGCAGCGATTTTTTTCCCCCTTCGGTGGCTACAAAACCTCTCGCTTTCCAGTTCGATCCTCGTACCTCGGATTTATTTATTTTTTCCCCCTGAAAATATCTGCTCCCCCCCCCACCCCACCCATCCACCCACTCACTCCGCGCGCGCGCGCGCACACACACACACACACACACCCGGCGTTTAAATCTCGACCCTCTTTCTCCGACCCACCAAAAGCAACAACCACCACCTTCACAACAACTTGTTCATCACAACAGTGGGCAGAAGGATTTTGCTAGCCTCCTTAGCTTTCATAGCCCTTGGAGTTCAGGGGGAATGGAGGCAGGGGTGGAAGGGTGGACAGAAGCAGATTGTAATCCAGGCTGCCTTTCGAAAACTACAGCAAATCTTGAGCTCATGGGGGGTTGGTTTTTTTTTTTTTTGTTTTTGTTTTTTGCTCCCCCTTCATTTTTAAGAGGCACACTTTTTTAAAAAAACCTGGACACACTCTGTCGGGGAGAGTCTAAGGAAGGCACGGTACCATTTTCCGCTTTGTTCTTCTAGCCGCTTCCAAGCCAAGGAACATAATAGACTATAATTTATCTAAGTGAATTCTCAGAGTCCACTGGGCAGGTTATACCAGCAATAGATTGCCATTGGGAGTGAAGAGGCTGTAATTTCAGTCTTCCCCCGGCCATTTACCGAGCACCTGCGTTCACATACACGGAGGTCTTTTAACGCACCGCAGCCCCCCGTTCGCTTCTCACCAAACTCGGCTCCTTCCAGAAATCAAGAGGCAAAAGAACCCACCGGGTTGGCCGCCGGAAGGAAAGCGAAGTGGTACTGAATCCGAAAACCTCTAGGCTACACACACAGCCAGACAACTATTCCGGTTTTAAACTTAGAAGCGTTCATCACCCGAGAAATTTTCCGAGAGGGACCCCCTCCATGTTTGTCCGTCTGGAGAGCCCCGTCGGCCAGAAACAACGGCGACCAGCAAGATTCATCTTAAGTCCTTGTACGCAGCGCTCATTAAGTGCTTGGGGGAATTGTTGGGAAGGTATATGGAAGCCGCGTGGTGAGTTGGAGAGGGTTATAATGTGTGGCGAACCTGCGACCCTGCCCCCAGAAATGCCCTCCTGTCTCTCTCTCTCTCTCTCTCTCTCTCTTTCTCTCTCTCTCTCTCTCTCTCTCTCTCTCTCTCTCTCTCTCTCTCTCTCTTCCTCTTGCTAATTTCCCCCCGGGGGGGGGAAACGGGAGCGGGGAGGGAGAGAAGTCTGTCTACCGACCATTTGCTCGCTTTGCCTGCTTCCCTGTCTCAAAGACTCTCAAAGGCTCTTTCGTCTGGCTGCGTGTGAGTAGCAGAGGAAAAGGAAAGGGGGTCAAAATAAAAAGCGGGGGTGGGGGTGGGGGTGGGGTGGGGAGGAAGGTTGCCCTTGATGAAGACTAACTGACGTAATTAAGGCAGTTTCTTGTTGCCGAGTTAAAAGCCAACCCCAACAACATGAAACTACCTAAACCACGGAACAGCTGCAGAAAAGGGCGAAAGATCCACAGTCATTTCTGCCAGAAAGAAGGAAAGGCAAAAAAGGGATAGAGGGACAGAGAGAGGGGGGGAAAGAAAGAAAGAAAGAAAGAAAAGAAAGAAAGAAAGAAAGAAAGAAAGGAAAGAAAGAAAGAAAGAAGGAAAGAAAGAAAGAAAAAAGGAAAGAAAGAAAGAAGGAAAGAAAGAAAGAAAGAAAGAAAGAAAGAAAGAAAGAAAGAAAGAAAGAAAGAAAGAAGACAACATTTTCAGTCCTTTCCTACGTAGGCTATGCTTCAGAATATGTTCCTGCTTCCTTTCTCACCCCACGTTGGAAGCTGAGCAAAGGAATAACCAAGCCCCTTAAGAAAACATACTTCAAATTAAGGCAACATCTTTAATCTCTTCATTAAGATTCCCCCTCTCCTCCCCCCCTCCTCTTCCCCCACCCCTCCCCTTTCTCCCTCTTTAATAGAATCTGCATTCAGCTCTCTCTCTCTAGTTCTCTCTGGGTCTGCGGTTGACACTTTTAGCTGAGCTGCTGGTACGTCCACTATCCTTCATTGGCAAACTGGCTCCGGTCTGACATTATTCATTTTGCATTGCATACTGCTATGGCAGTTTCTGTTAAATAAGGAGGGGTGGGGGGGTGGGGGAAAGGAGGTGGGGAAGAAAAAAAAAAATATCCACAAAGGGAAGTCTCTGCGTGGGCGTGCGCGCGTGTGGTGTGCCTGTGATCCCACAACATTTTGAAATGCCACCAAACGCCCTTGCCTTCCCTTTCTTTAGAGTCCGCGTCAGCCAAAACTCTGAAACCGAAAGGGCACGCACGTTCAGGGAATACCCAACGACAACGTGTGTTGGGGATTGCCAAAGTCCTCTGCCGAGCCACAAAAACCAAAAACCTCAGACTCTCTGGTGTCCCTTCTCAAGAAAGCTCAACTTCATTAGAAGTAAGTTTAAAAAGGGGAAGAAGAAGAAGGAGAAGGAGGAGGAGAAGGAGGAGAAGAAGAAGGAGAAGGAGAAGGAAGGAGGAAGAGGAGGAGGAGGAAGGGGTGTGGTGGGGGTGTTGGTGGCCAAGGGGATCAACATGGAAATCTATACACCACCATTCTTCAGCCATGCATATTCTGGTCGAAAATGAGCTGTCACACAGGCACAGGGAAGCCCCCCCCCCTAAGACACCAAACCAGACGCCCCATCTGGATCAAACCTAGGTAGCCTCAAAGTGGAGTTCACATCCACGCTGCCTTTACCTTGAGTAGACGCAGGAAGGGGGGGGGAGGGAGACCAACCCAGACACATACACGCGCGCAGCACACACAGAGGGAGAATTCCACTTGCACCTCAGCCATGTATCTCAGCCAAGAAACCGTCTGTCTTACCTTTGCTCGCCTTCCACCGTGACATTCCCCCGTTCCCTGTGCTAGGCTGAGAGCAAGGGTGGTTTTTAAAAAGTGTATTCCTTCTTTCTTTCTTTCTTTCTTTCTTTCTTTTTTAGTCATATAAAACGGTTCTTCCAGAGGAGGAGAGAAAGGAGCATGTCTTTCCTTTAAAAAAAAAAAAAAAAGGAAAAAAAGCAAAAGAGAAAAAAAAAAAGGTGGAAAGAAAGACGGACGGAAAAAAAAGACCCCTGGCTATGAGGAGTGTGCATCCCAAGAAAGCTGCTCGGCTTCTGACTTGCTTCCCTCCTCCACAGTCACCTTTAAATGCATCTTTTACTGCTGCGGCACATTATATTTGCAGATCATAAAATCCACCTCCAGCGCTTACCAAGACTGTCCTGACATTACTGTTTTATGACCTTGACTTATTGTGGTCACCTGGATAATATTTAAATCAACGTTATGGTCTCTCACTTATATTAAGCCCGCTAGGATACTCTCCTGAAAGCCTTAAAAGGATGAGTACTGGGGGGGAAAATACCCTAGACGGAGAGGGAAGCGGGGGGGGGAAGAGACGTGCTTTTTTTGGCGGGGGGGGGGGAGAGAATCACTTTGAAAAATACCCAGTTGTCCAGGGTTCTAAGAAATTTATTTGGCTCCATATAGAAAGATACATGCACAGATTCCACATACAGGATATATTTAAATAACAGTCACAAAAAAAAGCACAGGCATTTCCCCCCCCTTTCCCCATGATAAGATAGCAGTGCTGCTTTATTTTCTTTTTTTTTCTTTTTTAAATATAATGGGTGACAGCACCACCTTACTGAAAGGAGACTGCATAACTACACAGAGTAAGCATTTCTCTCTGCTATTTCCACATACTCACATACTCTGAAATTCATTGGCATCATTATATCTTTTATTTATGGTACAATAGGCAGGCTACACTAAGGTAAGAAAAGCAAACTTTCAAACATAGCTAGTATCCTAAACATAAAAAAAGGGCATAGATGTAGATCCTTCAGTCTTCCACCCCCCAACACACCCTTTGCTTTGTGCTGTTTCTGAATAACTTAAAAAACATCTTAGAAGCTGTTTGAAAAGCTAGTAAGCAACCACCTGGTTCTTTATTTTACATATAGAAACACTGATGCAATATATATATATATATATATGTATATATTTGCATGCTCATACTGATGAATGCATCTCCGCTCTATAATCTGTAAATATACAAATTATAGAATTTAACACATAGCCTGAGGTCGCTTTCTTTTCCCCTTCCCGCCTTCCCTCCTATATATACTCCTTGCAGTTTATACCCAGGGGGAGGCGGAAAAATAATAATGATAATAATAATTAAAAAAAAAAATACTGCACAAGATTTGCAACGATTCTCCCCATATAGCCCGTCCTTTCCTCCTCTGAACACTTTCAAGTGAAATTAAAATTGGAAGTCAGTTCGCGAATTCGGTTCTCTCTGTTCATTTTCTTGAGTTTCATCCTGCGGTTCTGAAACCAGATTTTGACTTGTCTGTCTGTTAGATTAATACTCTTGCTAATCTCCAGGCGGCGCTCGCGGGTCAAGTACATATTGAATAAGAATTCCTTCTCCAGTTCCAACGTCTGATGTTTAGTGTAAGGGCACCTTTTCTTTCTTCCGCTCTTTGCTGTCAGCCAATTTCCTGTCGTGTTTTCTGCCTTTATATCCTCTGTTAAAAATAATATTATTAAATAAGTATCTATTGGAATAGCAAAGAGATCTTCCTAGAGTCAAGACTACTTCTTTTTTCCCCCTGCAGCTTCTTTTGCTAATAGGAAATCTCTCTGTCCACTGCTAAAAAATAATGGGCGTTCTACTTCCAACTCCTTTTTTTTTTTTTACTTAACATTTACCGATTTATTTATTTTTTAAAAAAAACACCAAACAGCCCAATTAAGCATTCTGACAAATAACAGGAGTTAAGGGCTCGCAAAAAGCTGGGACCGAAGTCTTATTTTAACAATATTTACCTGGATATAAGCTACATAATGCCAACTCTTACTGGATTTTTTTTAAACACACACACACACACACACACACACACACACACGCTTCTTCTATGACACATACGGAAAAGCCTAAATAGGACTTTCCTGGGGAGACAGGCCGAATTTTTAAAGATTTTTTTTAAGCGTCAGATCTATCCATAGGCTCCTAGAGTTACAAAATCCCATCCAAGTTTCTAAATAATTTTTTTTTTTAAAAAAAGAAATTAATTCCAGAGGTTTAAGGATTGTCCTAAATTAGCTGCTGCTTGCAGGCGGGCGCAAAGCTCTCGGCTCAGACACTGCTCTGAAACTATCACTTCATATTCAAAACTAGTCTACAGCAAAACAAGATGGGGTGGGAGATTCAGAGGGTGAGCAGAGAGAAATATTTTGCCTGTCTATGGTGGTTCCTCTCTCTCTTCCCCTCCCTCCGTTCCCAATAGTCCAGACTCCATTTTCCTTTGATGTGAAAGCTCTGGCTAGTTTGATTATGAGTGAAGATAAACTTTTGATATTACTTTTAAAAACAAAAACAAAACCGACCAAGATTTGTTTGTGCCTTAAAAAATAAAAATGACCCACCTTCCTATCTGCCTGTAACACAGGCGCCACAGGCACACCCACATATACAACACCCCGACTTTCCCCCCCCCCAAAAAAATATCCCTTTTTCACACAGGCGTGCACAACCCCAACTGTTCACTTCAGCCTGCAAATTCACAAACACCTCCCCAGATTTGAATTTGGACCTTCTGTGGCTGGGGGGCAGAGGTAATCAGCTCTCCCCCTTCAAAGGTGAGGGCGAGCCTGTAAGCCTTGCCTTGTCTACCGGAGTCTTCCTGTCCCAGGATCCGAATTCTTGCCCCCAATTTAGGAATCTGAGCAAGCTGCTCCCAAACCGAATTCGGCTGGCTGCGTGGAAATGCCTTTCACGTGCTTAGCTAGCCTTCTGCCATTGAACCCTGTTAGTTCTTCCTAAAGGTTTGCCTTTCCCACAACCCTTAAACTCCCTCTCCACACCTTGCATGGGGGGGCGTGCTGGATGTACAGTAACAGAAACAGAGAGGAAGACTCCATATAAGACAAAGAAAAGGATGGAAAGATAATAATAATTATAATTATAATCCTCACCATCCCCATCAAAATTCATCCCCCTGCTGGCATAATCCATACAGTGTTAGACTTCCAACAAATAGCTCTCTCCTTCCCGCAAGGAAGAAAATTAAATAAAACTTTGGGAAAACCTAGGCGGGACATTTCAAATTCTTCATTAGAACTGACTGTTGAGATTAAAAGAGATCATGAAGTTGTTGGGTTTCCCCCCCTCCCCTGCTCCTCTCTTTTTCCACCTCTCTCTGAGATCTAAAAAGCCAATCGTATTTTATTATTTTTGTTCATTTTACCTCTGCGGATTGAGGCCGCTTGAGAAAGCGTTAAGCAAGAAAGCGTTTTTTGGGCGAATAGTTTTTAGAGATTTTCACATAACCTTGACATTGCATATTTTCTTATTGGTAGATAAAATAATCCATTCTTGGTTGCACGGAAGAGGATTGGAAAATCCGTTTTAGGCCATTTTAAAAATCGTATTTTAGCTCTATCTAAATGCATATATAAAGATGTGGGTGGAGACACTGGTAGATGTAGATACACACATATGGAGTGTATATATGTGTACACATGCATACCCCATGCACGCATTTACATACACAGACACACATATACATTAGATCAGATGAGAAACAGAGAGGATGAAATGCTTGCATTCTTTGGTGCAATTCAGGCAACTTACGTGTGAAAAAGGTACTGGTGAAAGCATGCATACTAGCACAAAATACGTATGCTAAGAAAATGTACACGTACTTCTACAGGACTCCATATAATCCAAATCCTCTCTATTTGCTTTCTAAGTTTTTTTTTTCCCCCTCCAATTCCAAACTGGTCTTTGTGAGGCCGTGGGAGTCTTACACGCCAAAGTACGAAACACCTTTTTTTTTTTTAATCTGTATCTATTCCCAACAGTTTTGGGGGAGGTGGAGGAACTCTTTGCGTAAAGTTAATACTATTCTGAAGAAAACAAACTCCCTATTTTAATGCTTCCACTCTCCTCGTTCCTTTTCTTCCCTTCCTTCACTGGGAGTGCGGGTGACATATAAATTTAATAAATAATAAATAATACCTATTTAAGCCCTCTCCCACCCTTCTGTTCACTGGCCCCCTTTTTAGGCGTCATCTGCAAGATAAATTTAAGTATCTTCTGTGAAAGCTCCCTTCTTGATCCCTCCAGGAGCTGATCTTGCCCAGAACACCTTAACTTCAAGCAGAGGTTCCTACACCCTCGCCAATGGAGGAGGAGGAAGAGGAGGAAGAGGAGGAGGAGGAGGAGAAGGGTGGGGGAGAGGACTTTGTTCCTGCGCAAACAAGACCCTTGAAGCAGCAACCTGGGTGACTCAGGGGGCATGCAGCTTTGAGAATGGAGCTCAACCACCAAGTCCAGTTTGAAGTGTTGGGCAACCCGTTCCCAGCACACCTCACATCCCCTCCCCTCCGGCCACCTTCACCCCCCAGCCCGCAGCCGGGCCCTCGCCAGTCAAATAATTCTCAAGACAATCAACCACGGTCACGCCACCACAACACGACACATCCCCAAGAACTTTAACGCCTGCTTTCAGGGCTGGGGGGGGGAAGGAGAGGAGGGAAGGGGGCGAGCTCAAACAGCCCGTTTGAGAAGTTGCAACCGCTCCTCGAACCACTCCCTCGCCCCTCCGAAGGGGCTCGTTCAGTGCCGGGAACCCCTTGGGATCCCCCCGGCTGAGTGAGACACACACACACACACACACACAAAAAAAAACCCAGCTCCGTCAACGTAACCAGACCACGTCGCCTGCCCCTTCCCCGTCAGCTCCAGCTGCTGCCCCCACGGAAACCACAGCCACGCCAGGCAGGGGCGTCCACTTCTGGCCAGGATGACTGAGCCACACTGCGGCGCCTTCTTTTCAAGCGGACGTTAAGGGGCTCGCTGTTGCTGTTGTCCTTGTTATTCGGGCTGTCATCGCGCCCCTTTCGTTCGGGCTTGCTCTTTGGGGGTGGGGGGGCAGAGCGCTTCCGAGAAAGAGAGGGGCGCAGAACAACGCCGCCACCCCCCCGCCCCGGGTCCAAAAGAGAAAAGTTGGTGGAGTTTGACCGCAGCCCCAGAGAGGCCGGGGCTCCGCTTCCTCAGACCATAAGCCCGAATAACAGTCACAACAAATAACCACCACAACAACCACGGCCACCGCAATAACAAGAGCGACCACCTCCAAAGAGCACCAAGCAGAACCGCTGCCCCCACCCTCCATCCCTAGGGCTCCTCTCCCGGGAAGCCAGCAGAAGGATCCCCCACCACCCACCCACCCAACCCCACCCCTTACCTTTTGCCTCGTGGTCGGAATTGTCACTGCTGCTCTCGGCGCACTTCTGCCCGCTTTGCTCGCTTTCCGACGGGCTGAGTTTGGCCCCGGCCAGACCCTTCTCGGTCTTGACGTCGCCAGCCGGGCTGTTCCGCAGGTTGGGCTCCGGCTTGGCGCTTTCGGGGAAGCCCCCTGTTGCTCCGGGCTGGGCGAGGGAGGCGGGTGGCGGAGGTGGAGGTGGGGGTGGCCGCTGGGGCGGCGGCTGGGGCTGCTGTGCGGCGGAGGCGGCGGAGGGCGGCGGCGGACCCGGGGTCTGCTCCCGACGCTCGCCCGGTTGGCCGAGACCCGCCCTGGGTTCGAAACCGGCCTCGAAGGCGCTGGGGCTGCCGCCGCTGGGCGCCTTCTCCAGGGTGGAGTAGCCTGGGCTGGCGCGGTAGTAGCTAGGCAGGGGCACCTCTTGGTCAGCGAGGCAAGCTTCAGGCATCTGCCCGGGGTAGAGGGTGACCTCGGAGGCGCTTTTCGCCCTTTTCTCGGCGTTGTACATGCAACAAGCATTTTCTTCCTTGACACTGGCCGGGAAGGAGCAGGAGGGCAGCTGCCTTGCAACAGGTTGCTCGAGTCGGTAGGCGTTTTTGGGGTCACACCAGGCGTCTAGCTGAGAAAGGTAAGGCGGGTAGGTGTTGAGGGACAGCCCGCCGGCGTGGTTCACCTCGTCTCTTTTGGAAAGAGCCGGGATGATCCCACAGTTCCTCATCATCCCACAGCTGAAGTCGCTCGCCGACTGCATGTACATTCCTTGATTAGAGGAGTAATTCTCTCCCCGGCAGGTACCGGCCAACGAGTCCATCAAAAACGAGTTGGGAGTCACATTGTTGGGACATGACATTTTCAGAGAAGGATTTTAAAGAGGAATACTACAGCCAGGGGCTGACATCTTTTTTTTAGAGGGGAAAAAAAAATATCAGCACCATAATTATCCACGCATCGGTCCCAACCACGTGATCACTAGGCCAATGAGGATTGAAAATGGCCTTGATGATTCAGACGCCAGTGACGTCACTGGGGTCAAGTTGTTGCGAGAGAAGAAAACCTGCGTGGAGCAACAGCGACATCTATCCGCTTCTGGAAGGTAGGGAACCCAAGACCTTCACATTGAACAAAGGAGGGCGACACGCTTTCCCTCGGGTTTGTTTACCAATGAACGAACGCGTGTCTGCAGCGGACTGGGGGAACATAAAGGAAGTGAACCCGTAAATAGAAACAAAGTCAAATTCAAATTAAAAGGTCAGCAAAGTCTATCTATCTATCTATCTATCTATCTATCTATCTATCTATCTATCTATCTATCTATCTATCTATCTATCTATCTTTTAAATAAATAAAAAAAAATTGGAAGAAAAACAAATGAGCCAATAATCGAACACTAAATGAACTTTTGGATCCTTTGAGTTCTTCCCCCCCAATTAAACTCGAAATGCACAGAAAATGTTTCTTCGTCTATCTTGTGGTTTCTTCAGTACTTTGTGGATTCAATGTTCACTCAGTTTACTTCCCAAAAGTCTTTAGAAAATCATTGTCGTCAATCATCATCACCTGGAGTCAAAGAAATATGAAGCCTTCGGATTAAATCACTCGGAGATTTCCATTTGAAAATCAGCATAGTCACTGACATTTGTGCTGTTTTTTTAAAAAAAAGTATTTTTCTTGCCTTTACTGTACGAATTCCGTCTTTAAGTGTCTTTCCTTCTAGTATTTTGGGGGGGGGGGGAAACTTCCCCCTCAAATTTTGAAAAAACAACAACCCTGTGCCATTATTTTAAAATAAACATCAACCCTGTTTACACTTCTCCAGAAATCCAAACATAAGCACAAGTTTGTAAATAAACCAAGGTAGATTAACAAAACTAAAACAATATTCTGTCTTATGGGAGTGTGTGGATTTGGTATCTACTTCTTTCAGGAGATTATCACAATCAAGCAAAGTATCAAATTGTGGGATGTCTGAGGAATCTTTTATTTAGCAGAAAGAGTGCTTAAACGCAATTTTATGCACAATTTTATTTGATCTTATTTTTTATTGATTGCACACTAAGATTTTTGTTTTTGTTTTTTTTTTTAAAAATGATTGTTTCCTATTCTAGATTCATTTACTTTCTATGCTTTCTTTCTCTTTGCCGTCTCTCTTTCTCTCTGTGAACTTAATGATCGCAAAATAATAATTGGCATCTCATAGATTAAGTTATGTTGAACGAGATGTTTTTCTTGTGACTGTGCTCTTTATTGGACATTTTCTAAACTGGGTTGGAATGAAGTCGAATTGTTCTTTAGTGTATATTAAATTGACTAATGTGTTACAATCCCAAACTGACAGTCCTGTTGATGATTGTCAGTTTGGGAATGTTTCTCTACGTTTTGTGTGGGAGTGGGCATGGATGAGTATAGTAAGGAAATACCTGCCATCTAACTGAAATGTTGACAAAGAGAGAAATAATGATCCTACTTATCATGGTGACCACAAGAATAGATTCAATCAATGGAAGGAACCTCAAGATCATTGCAAAGAATCTGAAACCTTTAGAGGGTTCAGAGTCATTTTCAAGGGATGGATTGAAAGCCTTTTCAAAAACAGATAAAGGGTAAGAAATTTTTTACTCAAAAAGACTGAGAGATGTTGGAAATGTGAAACTTAACCAGTCTGGGTTAAATACATATCTTTTAAATATGCTGATTGCTTCCTAGAACAGCCAAGCTTTAAACACAAGTTTTCTATGACCTGGTTTTACAATTCAATTTGGCTGTTGCTTTGAAAGGACTTGCAGAGGGGGGGGAAGGGGGAGGGAGGGAGGACACCTTCAACCTCCCTCCCTCCCATCTTCAAGGGTGAGAAGTTTTAATATCTTAGGCCAAGGAAGTCTTAAACCACATCATTCTATTTGTCTCAAGTCCTCCTTCACACACACAAACGCCCTCCTCCCCCGCCACACCATTCAAAATACAACATGCTAAGAGCTTTCCTGCACTTTAAACATTGTTTGCTTTCTTTGGAAAGCTATTTGTGACTTTATAGCCTCTATTTGCCTTATCTGCATAGGTCTTTTTGAAAGAGTTTGATAGAAATCGTTCTGTTTTATGATCTCCAACGAAAATTCCACATAATATTTATAAGCAAAGAATAAAATGTTAGCATGGGAGCCAATGTTTCCTCCTTTATAGGTGAAGAAATTAAAGGCCAATACTGTTTGGGACTATATAGCTTTCTCCCTTTCTCTCCCAGTTCTCTCTCTCACACACCCCCCCTTTTTTTTTTTTTTTTTTGCAGCTTATATAGCTAACACAATCATTTTGGGCTACAAAGCTCAAGATCCCTTCCTGTAGGCATTTTTGGTGAGAAAAACTTCCTAGATGAAAATGAAGTGACAATACATTTCAAAGTCTTCCGTATCTATATTTTCCATTCTGCATTCTTGTCTGTATTGAATTCCATCCATTCTCCCCCATGGGAAATAGGAAAAGGAAAGCCCAAACTGCACTGAGATTAAAGCCTGTGAAATAATACTATTTTTTTTACAGATCTTTTTCAGAGATTCATATATATACCACTGAGGCCTTTTTAATCAGATGGAATATAGTTGGACACAGGATAGAAGGGTTTTGAATGTGTAAAGCCGGTAGAAATTACATATTGATTGCCTGTTTGTCATTATGATTGCTTTGGGTTTTGTTTTTGTTTTTTTTAAAAAGAAGCACATTTGTTTCTCCGGAATCTATCTGTACAAACACATGGAAAAGTTTTCAGTGTAAATTGGGTCGATAATTGAAGCTTTCCACAAACAGTTTATCATAATGGATAATGGGATGGTGAAATTTAAAAGATCGAAACAGACTTCTTAGCTTCAGATCAGAATATGCTTGTGTATGTGTGTATAAACCTATACACTAAGTGGAGGTCTTGCTGTAAACCAGAGCAAGAAGAGAGTGGATGTAGAAGTCCAAATAACACTTAAAGTAAAAAATAATTAGAAGTATGATAAACACGGGTCATTAATGGAAAAAGAAATAAAATTCATCAGCTTAAGTAGAACCCCCGTTGGGAAAATGCTTTAATTGCGGAAGATAAATACCAACAAACGCCATTAAAACTTAAATGGAGGGGAAATCTCTAAATGCAGAAAAAAGATCTTAACATCTCAATCTGGGTTTTTACATTACTTTAGGAACAAAACACGCAGAGTGCGTATTAGGTATATAAAAAAAATAGTAATAAAATAAAACCACAAAAGAAAGATTGAGGTTGTTAGGTTGACCGAGGGTCATGGGGATTACACATAAGTAGAATTGACGCTGGTTTGTGAGTGCTTTTGGATTCATTAATGCATTTATCTTGGGCCTGGTAGTTATTTGGAATTATTTGACTGAAGTAAAAGTCAGGAAGTGATTAATTTTTTAAAAAGTCAAAGAAACAGGATAAAGTGCGCCCTGCCACTTTTCTGCCTTCCTGAGTACATGGAGCAATCTGCAGACGGCTTGCTATTGTCTGCAGTGCCTGATGGCCTTTTCTCTGAATGCCAAAGCCAGACAGTTCAGCTGACCCCCCAAAACGAGGTCTTGAAACCAGTTCCCCTTTGCTTCCCTTGGAACAGCCTTCAGCCCCAAAGACACGGGGCACGCGGCTGCAAGGAAGGAGTGGGCTGCAAACACACACACACACACACACACACATACACACACACAGAGAGAGATGTAGGAACACTGGTGCAGTGCTGTCTTGAGCTGCACATGCCCCTTAAAAAAATCATATGCAAGTGTGCCCGCAGGCATGTGTTTTTGTAACTCACACAAAAGCACTGCCTCAAACTTTTCATATTTTACTCGTTCTTTTTTTCTTCTTCCCCTAATTATCTCATCACGAGTTACACGCCACAAAATGCCTCTTATGCCCACCATATGTTTAACCAACTCTCTCTCTCCCCCCACCTCCCAACCTCCTTTAAGCCATTTTTACGATAAGCATTCATTTTCACTTCTTGGGGGGGGGGAGAAAAAAAATTGGGTAGGAACATTTTAATGATTACCTTAAATTTGTATTTCTGCCTGCTATTATACCCCATGTTGTGAAGGAAATAAATGTTCTGATTTATGACAAAGTACACGAGAGTACAATAACAAGGATGCAAAAATAAAACCCAACCCTTTAGATGTTGGCTTAGAAAGTGTAAACTATCACCACAAGAAATCTATCAAACTTTACAGTCCCTCTTATACTGTTTCCCTTTTTTTTTTT